GTGGAACTGGAATTTCACCTTCAATGATTAAAATAAAGAATAAAGGAGTGGATGTCATATAAAGGTACTTGTCACTGAAAATAATCCTTTATTATTTCTTATTAAAAACAAATACCTTTGAAGACACCACTATAGAATAAGGGTTAGTATTCAAAAAAAAAAAAAAAAAAAAGAAAAAAAAATTAAATGCTCAGTTGAAGGTTTGTTTTCAACCAGAAGTAAGAAAAAATATCAAGAGAATTCTGTTTTACTTAGGAAATGTACATGACACAACTTAAGTTATGGTCAAATTATTTAAATATGTGTACATATATTCTAAGTCATTTGAAGAGTTTGAGGATTTTCCTTATTATAACCACAATAAATCTACTTTGAATTGGTATTCTATACTTTGTATATTATTCTATTCTATTCTACTATGTATTAGTATTCTATACTTTGAATTAGTATTCTATAGATAAGTGTAAATAGGTTGGTAAATAGGTTGGTGTTCTGTTAGACGTCCAAAAAAAAAAAAAAAGCTGAGTGTCTTGTAGATCCCAATTTCCTAATATGAAGGTTATGGTACATGTGCAGGCAGTATAAAATTTATCGGGTGATCGGGTGAGTTTTTTGTTTTGTTTTTCCAGTTAAGCTGAAAAAAAAAAATGCATTCTACTCTTGCTTTGTTTTTACTAGTTTTGATTAATGCAAAGATTGCAAACAGAAGCATGACCTTTTCATTTCCTTCTTCCTCCATTTCATAAAAGGCTATTTTCTCCTTTAGCAAACTCTGGAAGGGGAACCTCCCCTTTGCCTGCAGCTGTCTGGCGCTGTCTCCCACGTTGCAATGGTTTGCTGTTTGCTGCTGCCTTCCTGCATACACATGAAGAAGGGGCAGAAATAGGTTTTCAAGTACACTTTAATGTACTCAGATTAAAACGCTAATATTTTTCCTCTAATTCTTAAAGCAAACACAGTGCATTTTCAAAGTCATTATTAATTCAGCTACTGCTGGATAAAAATTTAACTGAAAAAAAATATATATATGTAAAAAAGGAGGGAAAAGTAGATGTTGTACTGCTGAATTCTCCCTTTTTCTTGTACTGGGTTAGTGACTGTAGTTTACAGGGCTGCTAGTGGGCATCTAGTTACAAATTAGCTACATAAATTAAATGAAAAGAATGTTATTGGAAAGAATTGCAGATGTGAGTGGAACACTTGTTTTATAACTTTAAAAGCTTGATTTAGTAATATATATGTCTGTAAACATATGTAAGAAGAGAGAATAAAGGAAATACTACAGTGTTTTCAAATGAATTGTTACAGGCTCATATTAATATATATAGCGGCTTTCTTTAAAATTTCTCATACCAGCTTAACTTTTTGCTACCACCATCATTGCTTTTTCTGAATTGTTAAAGAGATATTCATCAATGACTAGTAATACTTCTGAGTATAATTCTTGTCATCCAAGCGCATAGTGAACTCCAACTGACGGCCCAAAGGAGCTGGACTAAGACACTCAGAACTCAAGGCTGCATATCCTGAAGCTGGGTGCAGTACTACAGCTCTTCTACAGCAACCAACCAGTAATGAAGTGACTTCAGCCAAGTAATTTACATTGGCTTTGCAGATGTCAGTAAATTAAAGGCTCTTTCCAAGACACATAAGTAGAAATTTTTCATGGGTTGAGTTAAGTATGAAATACGTGTTTGTATATAGCACACATTTAACTGTGAAAATACTGATTATTCTTCACTAAACCAAGAATTGATACTGATTCCTCTCATTAAAAGACAACAGCATGATTTACTGTTAGCATGTTGTAATGCTAGGGAACAGACAAATCAAGTGTCTTGCCAAAGAGCATCAAAGAAATCAGTGCAAGAACCAAGTACAGAACCAGTCTCTTGGAGATTTCAGCTGACACTTTTAAATCAGCTCATCATCCTTTTTTGTTCTGTTTTTTTTTTTTTTTTTTTTTTTTTTTCCTATGGACTAAAAGGATTTCAGTCTATAGTGTGGTCAACCTGATACATTTCACAGCACTAATTATCTTTTTAAAAAAGAAAAACACAATGTAGAAAAACAGAGTAGATTTTCCGCATTAAGAGTAATTGGCACCATCAGTGAAGAGTCAGCACTTACCCTGTAATGGTCAATTCAACAAACACATGTCTAAATGCAAAACCACAAGCTCTTACAATTCTGTAAAAACTCAGTTAATTGCTTCTTTTGGGGTTGAGGTCAGGCTTATTTTTATGACCGAACTAAACTTCCACATTAAAAATAACTCAGATAATTCCTGTTCCTTAAAATTTTACAGATGAGTTGTAGGCTGAAACACAAACTTTTGTTTTTACTTTTTTTTAAAGCACATACTGAAAAGCAAACAACATAACAGCAACTGTACATTGCACACAGCTATTCTGGGCACAAACTCTGCTCTACTCCACTGAAACAACTTCAAATCTGGTATAATTTAGCAGAATCCACCCATCATCTCTAGTTTATTTTGTTGATGGAGATTTACTCAGCAAGCCAAAATCTTTCAAATCTTCCACACAAAATGCTTTACCACTTACGAAAACTGTGCGTTTGTTTGTTTTGTTGTTGTTTTGTTTTGTTTTGTTTTTTAGTTGAAATTTACATTTGTAACTATTTTTTGCTTGAAATTACTGTTTCAACACTAGCTTTACACTTATTAACATGGTGAAAACAAATGCTGCTGCCAGACCATCTCCTGCCTTTTGTTCTCCCACTATCCATAAAGCAGCCTTCTTCACTGCCATTTAAATATTATTGGAGTTGTATGCTCTATGCAAAACAAAGGAAAAAAAGCACTACAATTTTTATTTTTATTTTTATTTTTTTTTGGTGGGGAGGGGTTGTTTTGTTTTTATGTACTGCATACTAAGTAAGTTAAATCTATCTATATGTCCCTTAGATAAGAATTTACATGCCTGGCTTGCATGAATTTTTCACAGCACTGACAGATGAGGGGTACAGTAGTCCTTAAATTTTTCTGGAGATATTGGAATATACGTTCAAAATATGTAAACGAAGGTCTACATTATATTACTGATATCAATACTAGATAGAGATGACAACTTCCAGTGCAAACATAGGGATTATTTACTTATGCATCATAAAATTGCACTACAGCTTGGCAACAGGACCCTAAGGGGGAGTTTAATAAGACAGCCATAGTTTTTTTCAAAGGCAGACTGGCATGCTGTTGAAAAGCAGATGGAAGGTAATGGAAATTCAAATGATGGTGACAAAAGCTCCCAGAAATTTAGGGCTTTTCCATGGGAAAGTCTGGATTGTCTTGTCTAGAACCAGAATAAAGTCAAAATCTTCAAAGATTTTATAAACCAGAATACTATCAGAAGTTTTGTCTTGTGAATAGCTCTTGCTCATCATCTGTCAGGTTCTGGCGATTCTGAATGTCACCCAAAGGCAATGTTTGGGGTGGCTTGCCTTCTGAAGATTTGCATCCATCCAGCTCCAGATAGATGACTTTGGACTGTCCAGTCCTTGGACCAGGACTGACATGCATGACATTTTTGCCATTTTGGATAATTTTTCCACTCATGCAATCTGAGAGGGTTTAATGAAGCTCGTATTAAATTTCTGTGGTGTTCTTGTTACATATGTTAGTAGTTTGTGTGTTTGTTTAATTTTATTTGGGCATCACCATAGGGAACCATTTAGTTTAAGGTTTCAGCTATTCCAAATTTTGCAACAAGATAATCTGAAGAACAGCCTATTCTAGTATTGCAGTTCTGGTTTTAAAAATAAAGGTTAAGCTTCCATAACAAATAAACATAGAATGGCAATCTTTCAAACTCTAATAAAAGTAGATAGTTGAGTGTTTCTTAGTTGACAGCTGAGAAACGCAGTATCACACTTATGTCTCAAGTGATCTAAACATTAGCTTCAGGAAGCAAATATACGGCAGATTAAAGTTATACTAAAATGGCAGCAATTAGTGATCTTTCTGATGTAACAATTCAGATAATTTGTGAACGCATATTTTCAAATATTGAATTTTATTATATAAAATTATCCAACTATAAACTATAAAACTATCCAACTCATAATCTTAAACTCAGTGATACTACTTTTTTTCTGGAATTCCACAATGATTCCACTTTCATATCTAATATGACAGAAAAATAAAATAAAATATAAAAAGAAACAAACAAAAAATAGACATTCCATTCCAAAAACTCTGAAACAAAGAAAGGAAATTATTTTTTTAAATGCTCTTAAGTCGGAAGATTATCTTTCCCCTAACCAAAATAGAATAGGAACTTCCACAAAATTTTATTTCTGACATTCATCATTTTCTACTAGAAACCATTCTTTTCCAGAAAAAAATCACATCATGTAAAAAGTTTCCTGTAAATCAGGGAAATAAATATCAGACATGCACCAAGTCATAGAAACTGAATTAGCAGCTTGCCACATAAGAAACCCGTGACAGAATTTGGAACCAAATCTTTATTTCCACATCCCAACCCAGCTCACTGAGCAGTGAGCGGTTCTTCCTCACCACACTGATTTTATTGACAGTTTACTCTCCATTTAAGATGCTATAAAAGTGTCCAAACTTAAAGATACAAATACAGCTCTTGGTACAAGAGCTTTAAATCAGTACAAGAGCATATTTTATTAATTTTATTTATTTTTTAATCTACTGGAAAATTCTGTTAAGACAACAGCTTGTGCTTCGCAAACGATTTACTATGACAATGAGTTAATTCCTCTTGGAGTAAAAAATAGACTAATTTTCCATTAATTAAAGCACTTATCATTTTCATTCTTGGACATCTTCTTGTTTTCCTGGTACATGCTCCAATAAAATGGATAACCAAAATCATGAGATTCTTAGCACAAGTTTCTGAGGTTTGATGCTGTCTGTTTTGCTTGTTAATATCACACTGGTCACATGCTGCCTGGCCACCCACATCACAACATGTTTTTTCAAACATACAAAGATTAAAAGTTACCTGGATCTTCTATAGATAAGTTCTTTGTCAACCACTGAACAATGTCTGAACCTAGGAACAAAGCAATAGGTATTTTTAGATTAGTAAGTTTTCTCTTCCTATTCTTCTGTTCCCTAGACCTATTGACATTGTTCTACATGCAAGAGACCTCTATATTTTTTTGCTCTGTTTTTCAAGAATCAACTAGAATATTTTTTATATATACATATATATGCATATATATGTTTCTCCACAGCTTTGGCAAAAGAAACGTGCCACCACTCTTTTCTTTAGGCCAAGACTTATAAAACACAATAGAAAAGTGTATGATAACCTACATTTTAAAATTACATTATTGGAAAATGTACATTAAAGAAACTTTTTAAAGTTAATACTAGATTTTCCCCACCTTTCAAATTAGCTTGCAAATCAAACTTAGAAAAGGTAAATGCAACATATGTTGTGATTTTGCAATATATGACAGTATATGCTCCAGGTCATTTCTGACAAAAAATCTTCTTGGGACTAACACATACAATTATGAGCTCCTAAAAGAAGCTCCAATTTATGTCCAGCTCTGCCTTCTGATTTTTTATCTTCTGCTGTAGTGACTTTCAACCCTTTCTGCTGCCTACCAGTGAAACCATATCAATTACCTAAGCATGTACTACTACAACAGTTCTGCCTCATATTAAGCTTTTAATAGAATTCATTCATCCTTGGGGTTGAAGCCCTTTCCTTACCACTCCAGATCCTCTACTTCTGTATCCCTACATTTACTCCCTATACTCTTCTTTGTATTTAATTTCCTTAATTTAATTTTTCTCATGGGCATGTTTTTCCTCCCATCTTAACATCTCCAATACCAGACTCTGTGCTGCCCTGTGCAACACATATCCTTCCAACCCTACCTCCTGATTCTTAACACTGCTGCTCTTGGCTGTGCACTTCCTATCACACTTCAAACTCTCCGTGCCAAGACAAACTGAAGGAAGTCTCAATTATTAGACTCCAAGTTGCAGTTGGACTTCACGACTGTGAACATATTGAATTACAAAACAGATTATGAAGCAGTTCTGCAGACAAAAAGATAATTGCATTTATGATTTAAACAACTTTAAATAACAAAAACTGGCCTAAAGGGAAAATGCACTCAGAAGCTGGGGGTGATGCACATGTTCTGTGTTTCATGATGGTTGCAGAACATCTACTTTTTAGACAAGCAATGTAATGGAAAGACGTCACATAATACTTCCTTATAAAAACGGTTTTTAAGTTGCTTATCCATTTCTAGGCAGACATAATAATACCATTATTTTAAAAATCTTACATTTAAAAATCAAAAAGACAATGAAAGTCTACACAAATATAAAACTAATCAAAATAATAAAATCTCATGAATAGGCAATAATATAAAATATTAGAACCTGCAGATTTCCCCATCACTCCCAAGACTCAAATTTCTTCCTGTACTCCTAATTATGCATAATTTCCTTTGATTTTATTGAAACAATGAATATGTTGTATTAATAAAGCATTCCAGAGAAGAAAGAAAATCTATTTTTACTCTCTTAGCTGTAAATAATGTAATTTTGTTACTTCAATTTTTTATTAAACTTAATGAATAGCCTTATCATGTATTTCACAAAGCCTAGCTTATTTTATTGTAGCTTTTCATGTGTGTACACATTACTAAATTGATTACATAACAATGAAAACTGTGGAGATTTTACAACCATCTCCAGAGAAGAGATTTTCAATACTTTTTTACATGTATAAGTTTTGACAGATATTAAACTTCAGCAGCAACATTTCTCATAGTATTTACATTGAATTATTTGTTAAGTGAGGCAAAATTGCATGCTCCTACTGTAGGATGAATACAAAATGTTACAGGCAGATATTCCTACCTCAAAATATTCTGTATTTGTGAATTTTTATAAATACAATTTCTGTCTTTAAGAAGTTAATGAGGCTGACACTGAAGGATGAATTTTAGCTAAGTGTAAGATAAAACTTCACAGACTTCAATGATGCCATTCCAAATTTAGGTACATTTTTTTCATTAGCTAACTAGAGAAATTAGTCAGCCCTAAATATTTTCCTAAACCCTTGAAGGTCAGAGTAAAAATGTAATTAAAGAAACAACATGAGATTTTTTAAAACTGGTTCTTAACTTTGTCTTCCTTCAAATCCTGTAGGCTTCCCCATGGGAAGAATTTTTCTACTTTTTTATCTCACCTTCAAATGCTTCTTTCCTCTTTACCTCTTCCAAACACTTTCCCACAGTGAGACAGCATATTTCTCAGTCCTCAGCTCCAGGCACCATATTTGCCTACATGATCAGAAATTCACTTCCATATGTTACACTGTCTTCTAAATAACAGAGGGAAATGGGATTTCTTGACAACTGTATCATCTGATTCTGAAAGATCATTACCACTCTATTCATATTTTATAATGAAGCTATTCCCCTGATACCCAAAAGCCTGAACAGCAGTTTAAGCCAGCTATCACTCTTGAACACTCCAATGATTTGAGCTGCATGACTTCAATGACAAAAGCTTAGGTTAATAAATATTAACATATATGCTCTACTTCTAGTGTGAAGTGTATTCAAGTAAAGCAAAGGTGCAAGTATGTCATATCACAAGTGAGAAATCTAGCAGTCCATTTTCCTTTGGGAGATCTTGTGGGAAAATCTAGTCCTAAAGTAATAATAAAGTAATAATAAATCTTTAATAGCTTGCTGTGTGTGTTTTTGGTTTTTTTTTTAAGTGGTTGCTTTATATGTCTAATCAACAATGCAATTCCATTCAATCATATCTGTGCTTTTTTCTAAGCTTTAATGTTTATGCAAATGTGTTTCTAAAAGCAAGACCACTGCTATAATTTTTTATCTCAGGAAAAGAACAAGGCAGTTAAACAGGTGAATGCTTTACAGGAAAGTCAATATTTCCTTTGAGTCCTAGCTTTGAAAATCTGGTGACCAGTAAATACATGCCATTTTTCATACACCACACTTCACATCTACAGGAGAATCATAATCCAAGAATTAGGATGAAAAAGGTTACAGATAAGGTACAAAATGACTAGCTAGAAGGATGATATAAATAGCATGAAAGCTACTATCGTGGTATTGAACATTTCAAAAAAGGGGGAAAAAAATAAGATTATTTGGTTTCCAGGCTTGGAGGGAAACCATAACTCAAAAGATAGAAAAAATTTGCCATGTTAAAATGTACTCAGATTTTATATAGTATTTAATGTGCCTGTCACAGGTACTGCTTGATAACAAAAACACTAATAATAACATTTTCAAAGGAGATTCTCAAGTGAAATTCCCAAAGTCTCCCTGCCTCGGTTCTGTGAGGTAGGTAAAAGGGAAGCTGGCTGTCAGATCTGTACAGTGTAGAAGACCTTACAGACACCAACTGAATTTTGAAATCCCGAACCCTCACTTGTCATGCAAATTCCTGTATCAAATAAAACTGGACAAAACAAAGTGATCATTCTCAGAAAACATTAGAAACAGGTTTTTAGATTCAGAGCCTTTCAGACAATAGTGAGATTATTTCAATGTCAGCAGCTATCCAGAAAAAGGAAATAAAATTCACCAAGTCCACAAATATGAAAGACTTTCAATTTTTTTCAAGAAAGCAGAAAAAAAAAATGTTTACATTCATAATTCAACACAAATCTCTCAACTGTGTTCTCCATGAAATACATTTGCTGAAAAGCCAACTGGTGATTAATTTTAAAAGAAATTGTTTGAAAATAGCAGTTACTGAAGCTGTCACAATATCTTAAGAAATAGTTTTTGGAGGAAAGTGGGTGCTCTGAAGTCTGCAATGTTAATTTCCAAGTCATAGTCATAAAGTCCAGGGCAAAGCTAAGGTTAGCTTACAGTACATTTAAAAAAGGTGTTGACTCTAAACTATGACAAGATTAGTGGGAATTAGAGATGTACTTTTTGCTATGCAGAGATGCAATGAGCCATGTATACCCTGATCTGATGACAGAAAGGCATAATGAGATCTGCAAAATAAAATCAAAATCAAAATGATCTATCATTTAAAAAAAAAAAAATCAAAACATTTTTAGCTGAAGAAGACTGAATTTGTAAGAAAGTGCATTTTATTAATGAAAATCACAAACCATGAGATGACTGAGAAATTTAACTGAGCTACAATGATCTATTACTTCTTAAGGAGACAGGTTCAATCATGCAAAAAAAAAAATCTGCTAATATCTAGATATTGTAAGTAAGATCTATTCATTTTGTTACTTGTAGATTTCATAGTATTTACAGATGATGAAGCACATGGAAGTTCCCCTGCACTCCTGATAGCAAGAGAAATTTTATCTTCATCAAGACTTTTGCCATCTGACCTCAGAAGGCCATCTGAACCATTGCAGTGCTTTTCCTGTGCTGTGAGAGCCAGGAGACTGGGTTGGTTTGATGAGTGCATGTGTGCTGAAAGGTTTCAGTACCCAGTTACAGGAAGCTGGAGAATTCTGTGCAGAACAACTCCCTGTAGGGAAAGCTTAATATTGCACACAAAGAACCAGTTTCTACATATAAGACAATATGACTGTTAGACTGTTATTAAATTAATACAGTGACACCACTGCATTTCCTTTTTTTTTTTTTTTTTGAAAGACTTGTGTTATTTTGAGTTCTTTCTTCAATACTATTTGCTTTGTCACACTACTCCATGGTGAAATACATCAGGAAATTAAATGTATTTACTGATACACACTTCAAAATCTGTGTTCATGACTGAAAAATAAAGTGCAATTTCATTCCTCATCACTGATTCAGAAATTGGAAACAGAAAACAGATCAGATTAACAGGTAGATCTCAGCACTTTCTCTGAGGTTCATCCACTCAGAAAAATTGCTTTCCAGTGGATTTGGATTCTGTGAGGAAGGGCTTTCACTGGTGAATGGTGTAAGACGATCCACATTCTCCCTGAAGTTTTCACAGTCACAAATCTCAGAGCACAGGTTGTCACTCAGTTATTTAAGCACAGATGTTTTACAATGTCTTTTTCTGAGAAGCATAGTT